ATGGGCTCGGTGCTTGTAGCTCTGCGGCTAGGGCGCTAGCCACATACACCAGAGCTGGCGGGTTTGAACCCAGCCTGAGCCTGCCAAACAACAATCAACTACAACCAAAAAAAATAGTCGGGCATCGTGGTGGGCACCTGTAGTCCCAGCTACTTGGGAGGCTGAGGCAAGAGAATCCCTTAAGCTTAAGAGTTTGAGGTTGCTGTGAGCTGTGACACTATGGCACTCTACTGAGGGTGACATAGTAGTCCATCCACTGTCTCAAAAAATAAATAAATAAATAAAAAAGAAAGAAAGTAGAAGGATGAAAAAATATATGACCTACAGTAAGCATGAATAATCTGGCTGGAGTGTTAATAACAAGAAATGAGATTTCAAGACAAAGAATGTTCTTCCTGGAATTTCATCTCGTGTTTTCCTTCCTGTAGCCCCTTACTCTTCCTTGCTCTCTTAAACATTTATCACTTTCTCTAGAAAAGCTTTTCCCACCTAAGATCCAGTTCTGTCAACTCAAATAGCATTGTTTATTTCTCCTGTTAATATATTTATTCCAGTATGTTTTAAGTATTTATCTATCTCCTGTATATTTTAGGTATTTTTCTGTCAGTAAGATCTGTGAAGAAGGGACCATGTATGTAGAATTTTTAAAAATCATATTGTTAGCATTCAGCCTAGTGCCTGATATCCCTAAGTTCTCCAATAAATATGTGCTGTTTGAAGACATGAATGAACAACTTAATGAATCAATAAGAAATATGTCAAAAAGACTATATTATTTTTAATGTATGGAAATGTAACTGTGCAAAAAAGAGGGAAATAATTTTAAAAGCCATCAAAAAATTCGAAAAATCAAAAATGCATATCTTCTTTTTCAACCTAATGAGTTATTTTGTATTTATCTATCATAGACCTGAGTTGGTAGTTAAGAAGCTACGGTACTATGCAAGATTTATAGTCGTTTGTCTTCTTCTCAACAAAATGGATGTTGTGAAGGACCTGGTAAAGGTAACGTACTTTAAAGTAGTTAGAATTCTAAAATCTAATCATATGTGGATAATTTCATGTCTTAAAAATAGATTTTAGGTTTGGAGGTGGCACCTATGGCTCAAAGAGTCGGGCACCAGCCCCATATACTAGGGGTGATGGGTTCAAGCCCGGCCCTGGCCAAAACTGCAAAAGAAAATAAAAATAAAAATAGATTTTAGGTTAAAATAATTTTGATTTATCTAAATAATTGTAGCATTCAAAGTATGAATTCTGACATAGGTAATGATAGAAAGTATTTCTAACTCTCTTCATATTATGATACATTTATACTTTTCCAAGATAGTTATCTTAAGTCCTTCCTTTTATACCTTCAGCAATTTTTATATTCCATAGCCTAGGAATAGATGCCTGGGAAATGCAAATGGAAAACAATGTTTAATTTAAGAGAAAAATAATTGAAAGTTGAGGTCAAGAAAAAGTACATAATGTCATATGGAGGTATTACAGATGAATGGCAGTTTTCCTATCACTTTACAGTGGCTGATCACTCTCTCTTTCATTAACTGAGATAAGTAAGAGTTCATTATTTTCCAGATCCACTTAATAGCTGCGTACGAAATACTGCATACTAAATTCTGGTTGCACTCTGTACGCAATAGTTTTGTTGGCATACTTCTTAATTGTTCTGTCAAGGATAGCTTGCCAGTTTGACAAGGCCAACAGGGGTAGTGCTGTGTACTCCTTTTCTGTCTTTCTCTATCCATAGCAACTGGTAAGACTATTTCCAGAAAACAGTGTAAGCCCAAAGATAATTAGGAAGTATTCAATTTTAAAAAATGTTTAAATTTTTGAATTTTTTTCTAATTTCTCTGTTAATAAGTGTATTGCTGATACAGCACTGAGTAGGAAATGGATCCCTGTAAATATCTTATTTGATATATCATTCTGGAGTTTGAGATTTTGAAGCAAGTCCATGTTCTTTCTTTGTTTTCAGTTATATTGGGACTGTTGATAATAATCAAACTCCTTAACTGTATCATTTACTGGCAGTATCCATAATATAGCTATCTATTTTTATAACACTTTTTCTTTGTGTTATTTTAAAATCAGGAATTATCAGATGAAATTGAAGATTATACTCATCGTTTTAATACTGAAGATCAAGTAGAGTGGAACTTGGTGCTTCAAGAAGTAGCAGCTTTCATCGAGGTCAGTTTTTGACAAGAAGGATCATAATTATGAACAAATAAATGGCTATGTGGTTTATGTTTTTGTTGTGTGTATATGTCAAGAAGAAGCAGTAAGACCAAGTGCGCTGGTTCGCGCCTGTAATCCTAGCACTCTGGGAGGCCGAGGTGGGTGGGTTGCTTGAGCTTAGAAGTTCAAGACCAGCCTGAGCAAGATTGAGACCCTGTCTTTAAAAATAGCCTGGTGTTGTGGCAAGCACCTGTAATCCTAGCTGCTCGGGAGGCTGAGGCAAGAAAATCACTTTAGCCCAAGAGTTTGAGGTTGCTGAGAGCCATGTCGAGATGGCACTCTACTGAGGGTGACAAAATGAGACTGTCTCAAATAAATAAATAAATATGGTAAAATAAAGAAGCAGTAGCATATTGATATTTTCTCTTGGCCATTAACTTCTTATTCCTTTTTTTTTTTAGGCGGACCCTGTAATGATACTGAATGATGATAATACCATTGTCATCACATCTAATCGCCTGGCTGAAACAGGAGCCCCGTTGCTGGAACAGGGCATGATTGTGGGACAGTTGTCTCTGGCTGATGCACTCATTATTGGTAATTGTAATAATCAGGTAAAGAATTGTGAAGGAATTATGCTTAAAATTTGCTTTGAAAAATCTTGATTATCTCAGCAAGGATAACAAGGATATTTATTTCCTTATAAATATATTGACATTCATCTTTGAGGAAATGGTTAATTGAATATATAAGGAGTATATTACAGGCATTTAAATGGCTTAGAAAGGATTTTTAATAATATGCGAAACTTAGGGTATGGTAAATGAAAATAAATTTGCTAGGGAGTTATGTAAACAAAATTATTTCATATATGTTAGAATGTTTATGCACAGGAAGAAGACTAGGAAATAACTTATGAATATCTAAAAGATTTATTTCTGAATACCAGCATTTTAGGTGACTTTTGTTTTCTTCCTACAGCTTTCTAAAGTTTCCAAAATTTCTATATGTTACTTTTCCATTTATGTAGAAAGAGTGAAGGACTTGTTTTTGAGTACATTTGTCAAAAGTGAATTTGAAATATTTTTTCATGATTGAACAGTCCCAAAATGCTGAGGATTTAATGCACTGGAAATGTAATTTACTGGAATGTATTTGATGTTAGAAAAGTCGTCAATGGAAACATTTTTCTATATGTGTTATTCAGGTTTTGATTTTGAATCCTATTCTAGTGTTACTCCATTTTTGGCTTTTATAGCCACTATTTTTGCAAGTTTATACCTTAAAACTTTTTGAGGCCAGGTGTGATGGCTCATGCCTGCAATCTTAGCACTTTGGGAAACCAGAGCAAGAGGATTGCTAGAGGACAGAAGTTTGAAATAACCCTGAGCAACATAGTAAGACCCTGCCCCTACAAAAGAAATTTAAAAATTAGTTGGGTATGGTGGTGTGCTCCTCTGATCTCAAGAACTTAGAAGGGTGAAACAGGAGGATTGCTCAAGTCTAGGAGTTTGAAGTTTTTATGAGCTATATGGTTCAGCTACTGCATTCTATCCCAGGCAACAGAGTAAGACCGTGTCTAGACAGAAAAAAATTAAAACCAAATGAACTAGGCACAGTGACATATACCTGTGGTCCTAGCTAGTTGAAATACTGGGGTGAAAGGATCACTTGAGCCCAGAAGTTCAAGGTTAGCCTGGGCAATATAGCAAGACCCTGACTCTACAATAAATAAATAAATAAATAACCAACCAAATGAGATATCACCCACCCCAAATTAGATTTCTCATACTTTGTTAGTAGAAGTGTAAATTTGAACATCCACTTTAGAAAAGTATCAGACATTATACAGTACAACCAAATATATGCAAACCCTATAACCAAGTAGTTCCACTATTTCTTTTAATAATTTGTAGGAGTTTGTAATATATTTTGCATGAAAGGCCTTTGTCAGATTTATATATTGAAATACCTTCTACTCTGTGCCTTTTTTTTCTTTTTTCTTTTTGAGGCAGTCTCACTTTGTCATCCTTGGTAGACTGCCATGATATCATAGCTCAAAACAACCTCAAACTCATAGGCTCAAGTGATTCTCTTGCCTTAGCCTCCCAAGTAACTAGGACTACAGGCACCTGCCACAGTACTTGGGTAGTTTTTCTATTTTTCATAGAAACAGGGTCTTGCTCTTGCTTAGGCTGGTCTTGAACTCCTAAGTTCTGGAAGATCCATCCACCTGAGCCTCCCAGAGTGGTAGGATTACAGGTGTGAGTCACGGCACCTGGCCTGCTCTGTGCCTTTTATATTCCTCACATGTTTCCTGTCTGTCTCCCTCTCTTTTAAATACATTAATTAAAATATTTCTTGGGGTCTATCTCTCCTTCTTGCCTTCAGGAGAAGGACCCACTTCCAATTTTCTTTGAAAGTACTCTAAACTTTCCCTTTGTTTTTCCTAAATAAAACCTGTCTTTGTTACCCTGAAAAAAATAAAATATTTATTGGGCACCTGCTTTGTGCTAGACCCTGCTCCCAATACTGGGCTTCTGGTGAATAGAAGTCTTGAATTTTACTGTCCAATTTATAATTTTTTTTCCTTTTTGGTAAGAGCTCTATTTTGAGAAATCCTTGCCTTGACATGGTCATGAAGATAATTTTCTTTATTATTATTTTTTTCTAAAACCTTTATTACTTTATCTTTCACATTTATATCTATAGTCTATCTGGAATTTATTTGTGTTTTGATATGAAGCATGGGTCATGTTTTCCATTTGGATTTCTGGCAGTCCCAGCACCATTGACAGAAATGATTATCTTTTCCTCATAACACTCTAGTGTCATTTTTATTATAAATCTGGTGTCCGAATATGTCACAATTTGAATTTCTTTCTTTGGTGTGTATGTTATACTAATACCAGATTGACTTCATTATTTTGGCATTATAATAGGCCTCAAAATATGAATGTTATTGTAGTAAATGAAATATTTATTTTCTCTAATCTTTGTTTTCTCTTGTTGATTTCTGATCTTATTTTTGGTATTTTTTCCCTCTTTCTTTGAATTGAATTTGCTTAGATGATTGAGTTTATGATTTTTTCTTCTTTTTTATTTTATTTTATTTATTTATTTATTTTGAGACAGTCTCATTATGTCGCCCTTGGTAGCAACCTCAAACTCTTGGACTTAAGCAATTCTCTTGCCTCAGCCTCCCGAGTGGCTGGGACTACAGGTCCACCACGATACCCGGCTATTTCCTTTTTTGTTGTTGCAATTGTTTAGATAGCCCGGCCAGGTTCGAACCTGCCACCTTTGGTGTATGTGACTGGCGCTGTAACCACTGTGCTAGGGGCGCCAAGCCTCTTTTAATGTAAACATTTAAAGCTATAAAATTCCGTTTTAGCATTGTTTGAACTGCATTCCACAGATCTTGATATTTTGTGTTTTTAATTTTCTTTCAGTTCAAAATGTCTTCTAGTTTCTTGTCATTTCTTTTTTTTTTTTTTTGCAGTTTTTGGCTGGGGCTGGGTTTGAACCTGCCACCTCGGCATATGGGGCCGGAGCCCTACTCCTTTGAGCTACAGGAGCCGCCCTCTTGTCATTTCTTTTTTGACTCCTGCAATACTGTATGCGGGAGTCAAAATCCCACCAGGAGGTGCACATGCCCACCAGGAGTTTGATAATTGTTATAGGTCTTCTAATCTTGCCTTTCTGTTGACATGTAGTCTGTTAGATTTATTGTTCCTCACATGTTATATTCCATTTAAGGAAATACTTCTTTCTTCTGTCTCCCTTTCAGATTTTTTCATTTTCTTTGATTCTTACCAGTTTTACTATAGTGCTTCCAGGTTTAGTTTTCTGTACTTACCTATTTGAGGCTCATAGATTTTCTTGACCCTTATGAGTTCATGTCTTTCATTTATTTTGAAATATAGTTATTGTTTCTCTGCACACTGTTTTTCCTTCCTTCTTTCTCTCCTCTGCTTATGGAGTTCCAGTTACATATCTGCAGATCCTTTCATGGTGTCCCTGTATCTGTTATACTCTTTTCTGTATTTTCTATCATTTTTTCCTATCTAGATTTCAGTAAGGGTGTTTCTGTTGAATTTTTTTTTTTTCTTTTTTGTAGAGACAGAGTCTTACTTGTCGCCCTTGGTAGAGTGCCATGTTGTCATAGCTTATAGCAACCTCCAGTGCTTGAGCTTAGGCGATTCTCTTGCCTCAGCTTCCCAAGTAGCTGGGACTACAGGCGCCCGCCACAATGCCCGGCTATTTTTTTATTGCAGTTTGGCCGGGGCTGGGTTTGAACCTACCACCCTCGGTGTATGAGGCCGGCACCCTACTCACTGAGCACAGGCACTGCCCACTGTTGAATTCTTTTTGATTTCAAAAAGACACTAATCGTGTCTCCTTTTGTATCCAATCTTTTATTAAACTTTTTATTAAGTTTCACATTTCACATATTGTCTTTCTTAGTTGTGGATTTTTCCATTTGTTT